AACGATTCTGTGATTCTGTAAAAGTGTGAGGCACTGGATGGATAGGAAAAAGAGGAAATGGGCCAGACTCAAGCAGCATTAATATGCATGTCCTGACAGGCACGTGCTTGTCTTTCATTACTTGCTTCTTCTTCCTGCTTCCTCTTGCACAGGCCCTTCCCTCCTTGCCCCTGTGCAGAGATCAACTGGGCTCACAAAGCAGGGGACACTTGTCTTCTCCAGCCCTTTTGCTCACATTTCTGCTGTGAGATTGTGAAACCCAGAGTCATGCCTGGAACACACTGAGTAAACAAGGCCTTCCCAGAAGAGTACAGGACCATGTAGTAATGGGGCTTTAGGGGCTGTTCTGCTCACTCATTTCCTTCCCATGGCACTGGGACGTTCTTCTCTCCTGATCATAGCTCCTCCTGGCTTCACTAAAGCAGTGCATACCTTTGAGCTCAGACCTGACTCCTTGGGGTATTCCATTAGCAATATGACCATCCAGGGACCCTTCCTTGTTGACAGCCAGGACTGTATCTCATCCAACATTAGCAACCTTCAGTCCCCTATAACTAACCCAATCACCTATGCTCCCTCTATAGCCAAGGGAGAGGAGCAGATAGCTCCCCTGTAGGTTGGACAATCCACTCCAGCGTCTGCCCTGATTATAAAGGGAGCCTGGGGAGCTATGAACAAGGCACTTAACTTTCAGCCAGCTGGATTTAGGTGCCTACAAGTAAGAAACTAGAGCAATCTGATTTGCTGGAATTGGTAAATAACTTTATGCTTGACTATACTAGGTTTTGTTTCAGTTCTACCAATTGCACTGACAGACGCTGAGCTTTTTCCTGACAAAGTCTCATTCTCAGACAATGGAAAAAGTTTGAGGAGAATCATTTCCCCTTTGTCTATGTGGACTGGCATGAATTACAAACCTTTCTAAGAAGTCTTTATGGACTTGCAAGCTGAGACCTTTACCAGTTCTTCTAATCACTTCTACTTTGACCAAAGTTCAGGCCACTATATGCCCCTGAATCCGTGTGATATTGGAACCTTGTTCTTCCAGGCTTCAGGATTTTTCCCTGGTATGCAAAAAGGAGTTAAATCAATACAGGAAATAAGAATTGTCTCAGCCTATTTTGTACAGGCTTTTGGGTGTACTGTGCGAATTGCAAAACCAGCTACGTACAGTGCAATAGAGCATCCTGCTCAGTTACTCCTGGATCAGGAAATATACATCCTTTCCATGGGAGATTAGGAGACAAGGTAGGATCCTATTGGGAATGTGGTGAGGGTGATGGCACTGGGTGGTGTGACTGACCAATAACCCCTACAATGGAAGAAGGTGAAGGTGAGCATATTATAAGACTGGTAATGGCAATCACACAGGTATTGTGATTGAACTGTATAAGCGTACGCTTGAATTGTGATTTCAGTATATTGCTGGATCACTCTGCTAAATCAAAAATCCCATGTAACATCAAATATCTTCCAAAATAAACTTTTTATATTAAACATTGCACTCTCCATATGTGTGGAATATTTAAAAGAACCTGGTCAGAGAGTACTGGCCTCTGACAGGTGGCTAGTTTGCAGGGCACAGAATGGGAAAAAGAGGGGGCAGTCCAGATAGATGGGATTAGGATACCAGAGGCTGCCTGGAGGACCAGATAGGGATTATCATTCTGAGGTAATGATTCTGAGATAATTTATTCTGAGATAAAGATTCTTGCTTTGAGATTGAGGGCCTCATGGTGCCGTGCATGGTCATGCAGGCAGCTGGGACCCTAAGAGGTTCAGTGCTATGAGCCAGGGGCTATGGGTACAGGTGACAAGATTTTCCATTCTGCCACAGAAGATCCTCTCTCCTGATCATCACAGTAGCTGCTCTGCTCTGACGGAGCTTTTCCTTTGGTGCCAGGAGTGTGGCTATTTAAGCCTCAGATGATGTCCTTGCATCCTCCATCCCCTTTACAGGTGCTTTATCTGCAAAATGAAGGAGTGGGGTGATGCACAGCCCCTGAGCCTAGGAGTTCCAAGTGCCCTGTAGCTGGGGCATAACAAGGCAGTGCCACGCTGGCCACGAGCACAAGAAGCCCGACTGCATTCTGCAGGAAGATCAAGTGCATGACACACATTGATCCTTCTCTTACCCAGGGAGCATCCATCCCGTCTTCCACACCTTGTCCACAGGTATAGGACCGTCAGGATCCCACAGAGCATTGCCACCATGCCAAGCAGACCTGCCAGCATGAAGCAGGACTGTGTAAAGTCTGTGGAAAGAGTAACACTCAGAGAGATTGTGGTGGATGGCCTGTCGCTCTCCACCCTTCAGAATACCTTCTTACCCTGCCCCCTTCTGTATTGTTGCACATTTTGGGAGCTCACAGCATGCTCCATCACAGCCCTCTCTAGGGCTTGGTCTTACCCTTGTCTGCAGGAGTGATAGCTGAGGCCACTAGGGAGGGAGGATGAGCACGTGGACCCTGCCTTTGACTAATGCAAACAAAACATTTCCACCTGGGAACTAAGGGTGATAGGCAGAACTCTCAGCATCTCCCAGACACCCTTGCCACCCCAAAGAAAGCAAGGTACAGCAGAGCTAGGCTGGAAACAGTAGATGGAACTTTGCAGAAATTACTGTCCCTTGGCCTGTCCTTGGAAATTCTCTTCTCCATGCCCCATGGATAGTGTTTCCCAAGGAGAACATGAACTCCATGCCCCCTGAGATGCCTACTCCTAATTAACCTGTGTTGTCTACCTGCTTCTTTCAGGATGCCTCTATCCTGTCCACCTAATGCTCCCTACCAAAGAAAAGGTTCCTGGCAATGCTTCTCCCTTCCTGGAAGGGAGCCAAGACTGGGATAGAGATAGGATTCTGAACCCCTCCTGGAGACCAGTTGGCCACTGAAGCAGACAGAACGGTGCTGATGCTCCCCTAAGTGTGTAGGAACATAATGGAGCTTCCCAGAACTCACCTTTTGGCTCAGTACACACCACGCCAGCTGCAGAGCCATGCCTGCACAGCCCCAGACCCGTCTTGCTCTGCTGGCACTCCAAGAGGAATGACTCTGTGCCCCTGCAGTTTAGCCCTTCCAGTAAGTGACGGCTGTTCTCCTGGCCGAACTGAGCTCCGATGGGTGCAGACTGTGCTGGCCCACAGCCCAGCTGCCTGCAGACCACCTCCGCTTCCAGCAAGCTCCAACTGGTATCACATACACTATGCCACGTAGCATTGTACAGCACCTCCACACGCCCTGCGCAGGGGCCTGGGCCATCCTTCACTCGCAGCTGATTCGCACCTGCAATAGAAACCACAGGGTCTGAGGAGGCCTTCTTGGCCCCTCTGACCTCACAGCCCTGGGACAGAGAGCCTAACGGAAAGGTGACATATGTACCTTTGTCGTACAGAACTGGCCTGAACTGACAGAACTGACCTCAACATGTCGGGTTTGTGTTTCAGTGCCAAATGCACAGAGTGCTTTACAAGGAGCGGAGGCATATGTGCAGTAGCACATGTGCAGCACTTTGGCCTGTACTCTACTTAGCACAGCTGCACACTTGCTCAGTCTCCATGAGATTCTTCATAGCAATTAGAAAGGGACACACCTTCTGACTTTCGGTAGGCCGTTTTTCCAGATACCTGCTGAGAGCAAGCAGCCACAGCTCCAACAGATCACCAACCACCAGCACTGACTAACAGGTATGAAGCACCAATTGCCTAAACTTCCCGCCTAGTGCTATATGAGATGCCTTAAGAAGGAATATTCCCACAGGGCTGACAGCTGAGAAGTAGAGCTCATGGGAGACCACACCTGCCAAGGCAGCAGGCTACCCAGTGGCATCACAGATGGTACTGGACTCCTGTGTCTGGGAAAAAATCCCTTCCTAAGGATCGTGCATCTTGATTTTAGCAAGGCTTTGTTCATCAAGGAATGCTGTCATTTGTAAGCTGTAGGAACATGGTATAGATTAAATTAATAAAAAGTGTCTGCACAACTTCTTGCAAACTCATACTTAGAGCATGTTTAAATAGTTCACCATCAAAAGTGAACTGATCAGAAGTCAGCTATTACAAGACCACTCCATCTTCTAGCTATTTACTAGTGACAGTGAGTCATACACATCCAACTACTGCGATCCTATTGTCCAGTGGAAGACATTGGCCTTCCTAAGTACTGAGCTAAATTAAAAGAGAGGATGTGGGATGGGGAACCTGATTTCTGTGCTGTGGGTATTGAGAGTTGAAGAGGAGTCTAATAATAACCTAAGGCACTGTCGGCGAAGGCAAAATGAGAATTAACAACTCAAGTCAGATAAAATCAGAAATAACGCAGAAAATATCAGTAGTAAAGATAATTGATTACTGGATCAGTTTCCCTGTGGATGTGATAGATTCTCTGCCAGCTGATAACTTAAAACCCAGGCTGAACATCTGTCTAAAAAAATCAACCACAAGCTACCAACACAGTTGCCACCAGCTGGGCCAAAGAACCACTTCATGAGGCTCCCAGCCTGTTACATGTCAAAGGAATGACTAAAGGTCAGGAACTCCTTGCTGATCCTAAAAACATTCGGCTATTGATCTGACCTGCATTTAACCCCAGCCAGGGCATGACAATGCAGTCACAAACTGCTTGCATCATCCTGCCTCAGACAGGATGCACCCTAGCACCTGAAATGGCAGGAGACACCCACACCTAAGTAATTAAATACTATCAAAGTTAGAGTTTCATTTCTTCCTAACTCCAACCCAAGTGGCTGGGTTAAAACCATCCTTTGTTCTGCAGTTGGGGACAGAGAAGAGTGAGCAGAGAAAAGAAAGCCTAGAACAGCCCTTGGGCAAAACAACAATTTTGGCATCCAGCCCCACATCAAGCCCCCACTCTACTTCTTGGGTGCCATCTCCAGGCACCCCTTGGATGGACGCTAGCTCAGCCAGGAAAACATCTTTATTGCGATGCCCTATACTGGTTCCTGCAGCACCTGTAGGGTTACCTGAGCACACCACACCAGCATCTTCTTCATGGCCACAGTTGTGTTCTCCCCAGTCACTCAGTCTACACTTTGCGAAGGTGGATTCGGTTCCTATGCAGTGAACACTGTCCAGCCAAATGGGGTCTGATCCTCGGCCGAAATGAGCTGAACCCAAGGCTGACAATGCCATCCCACATCCCAACTCCCTGCACACGACTACCGCATCTTTTAGGTCCCAGGTGTCATCGCACACAGTTCCCCATCGCTGGTTGTGAAGAACCTCAACTCGCCCAGTGCAGTTGTTGAATCCATTCACCAGCCTGAGCAGAGGTTGCCCCGAAGTGTCCAAGTCTGTCAACAGAATAAGATGTGAGTTCATACCTGGTCATTGACAATGGCTCCAATTAGGCTTTGAAATGTATTAAGCCACAGGAAAATGACAACATCCATCTGGGTGTGAAGCCTCCAGCTGCCAGGGAAATGTGTGAAAAGAGATCCTGTTGCTGGCTACATTGCCCGAGAAGGCTCGGGATTTTCCATTCATCAGCTCAGATAAGGAGTCACAATTCCAGAGTGTGGGGCTCAGTGCCTGACAAAGGGTACTGGGGTCAACAGTGAGTATAGAAAGTGGTAGGAGCTGTTACCTGCTGCAATGTAGGTAGAGCTATCAGAAAGGGAGAAGATAGCAGAAGGGCTCTAGCTATCAGAAAGGGGAAGAGCTCTCACTCTGTGTCTCTTTTTGCACAAAATCACACTAGCAGCATGCTGGGATCTTGTAGTCTGCATTGACACAGGGAAGAAATCATGTGACATTCATGCCATTCTCTGAAAAAGTTTTTACCAGGGTGTGGAAAAGGCATTCATCCCTGATTGCCAGGAAGTGATTGTGTTGATACTGTACCCCAACCCGTATGGTACTTAAACCATTGAATATGGGTTACCTGAGCACACCACACCAGCATCCTCCCCATGGTCACAGTCATTGGATCCCCAAGGCCTGGCCTGGCATTGAGAGAGGGCAGTTTCTGCCCCTGTGCAGTTCACATTATCCAGCCAGACACGACCAGATCCTTGTCCAAAGCGAGCCAAGCCAGGTGCTGAGACTGCTGTCCCGCAACCCAGCTGCCGACACACCACTGTGGCTTCGGTTAAACTCCAGTCGTCATCACACACTGTTCCCCAATGATAGTTGTGGAGCACCTCCACTCTGCCAGCGCAGCGATTGGGGCCATTCGCCAGACGCAGTTCAGGTGACGCTTCAGTGGCTGTGTCTGCCAATGGCACAAGGGGGAAGAGACCAAGAGGAACATTAGACCAGATCTCCCACAAGCAAATCTGCCTGCCACTACTGCCCTCAGTAGCTGCATCTCACAATAGCTGCAAGGCCAGTGAAACTCTTGCCAGAGAAAGTTCCCTAGCATTTAGTACAAGAAGAAACTTGTGCCCACACAGAGCTGCTGAGGAATATTTAAAGTTTAGGGCTAAATAACGCAGATGCAGATAAACCAGCTGTATGGCCTCAGAAGCCTTGTTGTTCATGGATCAACTGAACCTTAGCAAATTGCCACCATAAACTGCTATAATCTGCTTTAAATCCTCCTGGATGGTTGTCCAGAAGCCCATTGCACTGGCTTAGTGATCACAGTAATCTACGAAGGGGGAGGATGTCTGCAGACCCCATTGCCACTGTCCTTTTTCTTTCAAAAGGCCCCTGCGCTCTGGTCTTTGCATAGGCGGTGAGCTTGTGAACTACTGGTCCGTATAGCATGGAGGGCTGTGACCTTGCTAGGAGCTGCTCTGACACTTGGCCCTGTGCTCTCCCTCTGTCCTGTGCCTTCATGTACACCCTTTTAGCCCATATTAGAGTACTTCTTCATACACTACCTGGAGAAGAGCGTTCCCTCCTATTATCACTGCTGCTCCTAGCTTCACAGAAGGATGAATTGTGTGCTAAACAACGCCATATACCATTTTGTAGCAGAGTAAAGAGGGGACAGGGTCACCCTTTTCAACCCCTACCCAGATGTCTGATGTCCAGCACTTTGCTGAAGTTTTGAAAGCGTTGTTTATCCCTGTAGCAAAGCATCCTCCATTGACCTTCTTCGCCTGCTCTGCATGCATGATATTATCAACAGTTACCTGTGCACACAACCCCAGCATCTTCTCCATGGTCGCAGTTATTTATGCCCCAAGGCATGGCCTGGCATTCAGAAAGGGCAGCTTCTGTCCCACTGCATTGAACATTGTCTAGCCAAATGGGTCCAGATCCCTTGCCAAAGTGAGCTGAGCCAGGGGCTGAGATTACCATCCCACAGCCCAGCTGCTGGCACACCACTTTGGCGTCAGTAAAGCTCCAGTCATCATCACATACAGTTCCCCACTGGTGTTCGTGCAGCAGCTCGACTCTTCCAGAGCAGCGGGTCAGGCCATTCACCAGAGGGAGCTCTGTGGGACTAGTGTGGCGATCTGGAGGGTGGCTGGCTGAGTCTGCAAAAAGCAGAAAAAACATACCATGACAATGCCCTTGTTCATCATTTCTGGGGCACTGCATGGCCCAGCTGACCATTCTGCCCTGCACAGTATTCATTGACTGCACCATGTTCATTGACTGCACCCAGTATTAACACACAGCCACCTCTGGACTGGGCTAGGGCTGATCACTGCTTTAGCAGAGTAATGCCACATGGGCCCAGTAACTTGTGATCTTTCCAGCTGTGGCTGGAGTTCCTGAGGATATTGAGACAGGAGAAGGTGGAAAGCTTCTTTTCTAGTGTGCATGGTGCACCATGCCATCTGTGCACATGGAGATGGCAACTGGAAGTTTGGCGCACCTATGTACCAATGTCTATTGAGACAATTTTGGCACAGGTGGTTCTTGTGTACTAGCCATTGCCACAAATGCATGCATCTCTTTCAGCTGCCAAAGATCCAAGCTGTGATATAATTTGTGGCTGAAGAGGAGGTGCCTTCTCTAGCTTTTTCAGATCACCAGATTCCAGAGCATGGAAACAATCATCTATTCCTTACTCTGGTGACAAGGAAGAGGAATCTTGGTGTCTGAAAATATCTCTCTTTCTGGCCCCTCTGGTGACCATCTCTCATCTGCCTTAGGTTGTCTCTCACAATGCCTGCCTGCAAAACAGACACTGTGCCTCTGCCCCTGCCCTCTTCCTGAAAAAATGCAACCAAAGCAAGATACCCAGTGTCCTGCTGATGCTGGAGATGTGTTCTTGTACAAGAGGCCCCTTCACAACCCTCAGAGATGGTTCAGCATTTCAGAAAGTGGAGAGCAGGGCTCCCAGGTGGTCTCTCTGTGAGTGCAGAGGAGGTGTGAGCCTTCCTGGGACACTGCTATGCTTCACTGCAGTGAATGGAGCTCCTCTGCAAGGAGCTTCACTGCAGTTTACACCCCGAATCTCATATTCAGACTCCAGAGTCACTGAGTTCTTCTTCTGCTTCTGTTCCTGCATTCTCTTGCAAAGGGAGCTAAAGTGTTAACTCCAAATTTGAATTCAGGAGTGAGCTGAGCTGACCATTTTGCAGCATGTTTTTTTTGCTGACATTTTGCAGTTCTTTGTGACCTGTTTCAAGCTAATTTTGACATAGGAAATAATTTGCACAGAGTTTGGCAGAGGGTAAGTAACAGCAGAGGTGATAGAAAACCTCTCATAGACATGCCCTGGCCCCTGTAGCATGAAATTAGTACTAATTTCCTGGACAGATAATGTCTGGTTCCCAAAAAGCTCACCGGCCTGCAGGCCTCTGTAATGTAGGGGATAAACCACAAAACCATCCCTTCTTGAGGTCATATGTGTAGCAGAGAGCACAGGTGGAAAATTTAGGTCAACACTTATTGCAAGGGAATTGCATGCTTTGTGACTGCCACCAGTTCCCCCCATAATTTCCACAGGTTGTTACCTGAGCACACCACACCAGCATCTTCACCATGGTTGCAATTGTTCTTTCCCCAGACCTTCATTCTGCAGTAAGAGAGAGCAATTTCCATCCCTGTGCAGTTAACATCAGCCAGCCAGATGGGTCCTGAACCTGCACTGAACTGACCAGACCTAGAGGCTGATAGGGCTTTTCCACACTGCAGCTGACGGCACACAACTTCAGCATCTTCTAAGTCCCAGTGGTCATCACACACAGTTCCCCATCTGTTGCTGTAAAACACTTCAACTCTGCCAGCACAACGGTGTGGTCCACCCACCAGTCGGAGGGGAGCCCGCTGAGAAGCAACAAGATCTGCAAGGAATAAAACTCTCAGAGAGGATCCTGTGCATGTGGGGAATAGAAGCACTGGGAAAGGCTATGTTACTTGTGCTAGCCTTGCATGGCCTCTGCAAAGAGTAATGGTTTATCTGAATGACTGACATGCTTCTCCTTTGACTAGGAAAAACTAAGACAATCCAGGCAAAAAAATCAAGGTCTAGGCAAGAAAATGCTCTGTGAACCCTATTTTTCTAATGGACAAAGGCAACTATCTTTGAAGGGGCTTTTGATATTTTTTTACATGATATTCTCAAACAGGTTTAGAATTAAAGATAAATAATACACTGCAGGTTTGATTGAAAGGTCTGGAAAACTGTATGTAGGAAGTACTTATCAGTAGATTGCTAACTCAGTAGAAGGGAGCTGTCTGTGTGCAATCTGATCATTTACAGGATGCTGTATGGAGCCCACAGAGCAAATTGGCAAGTGATACCTAGCCAAGTGGAGTTGTGAATGTACCAGAGGAGAGCATTAGGCTTCAATTACAGCAAGATGGTGTAATTGGTGATGGGAGGTAGGAGGAGCAGAGGCATTATGCATTAGGGGAGATTGTGGTGGAAGGAATTCCCAGAGGGCAAGGACTGGGGAACTGAAGTTATGGTAGGAGGGAAGAAGAGGCAGAAGATACAAATCAGAAAGTCCAGCACCAAGATTCATTAGTTCTGCCATTCATGCAACAATCTGCTTTGTGATCTACTACAAACTAACCCCACCTGGGGAAGATGGCCCCACACATTCTGCTCTGTGTAAGCCTAGAGGAGCGGGAGAGGCAGCTGCAATAACCGCACACAGAGCTACAGTTTGTTAACTCTTTATCTCCTGTCCCAAGATACTTTCTTCCTATACAGAATGAGTACGCTGCATCAGGAACTGGACATCCTGGAAAACTAACAGCCAGTGGGGGGTTTCTTGTATGCCAGTTTTCTTGAGCACAAAAACAAGGACTCATGTTGTGCACCTAAGTAATGCATGAAAAACAGAAGGAGCCTTATTTGGAAAGAAGGTAGCACCAAATGAGGCAGGTAGAAGAAGAAAAAAAAAGGCAACAACACTGTGGAATCCCACCTGTTAGAGAATGATCTTGCAGCACAATTAGTCATCTTCTGGAAAGGCTTTCCTATCTACAGGTTGAAGAGGGAAATACCTGCTCTTGTTTGTGCTGGAGGAAATAGGACTTTGTGCTCTATCTTTGTAAACACACAGGCCAGCCCCAAAGAAGTGGCCAATACAAATAACCAAGTTCTGGTCTTAACCAAGACAGGCTGCTAAGGCCCCAATCATTTCCCAACAGCTATGCACGAGGGCAACAGTACAGAGGCCAGAATAATTACCCGGACAGTAAGGTCTCCTTCCCCACCAGCCTTTTTCTTTTCCTTCTGAAAGCTGGCAGTTCAAATGAGGCTTTGCACTATCTCTCTGTAAAACTAGTGCCACTAGGTGGGTGACAGAGCATCTGTCACCATCCTTCTGTCCTCTAGTCTTTTCTCCAGCCTCACTTCTCCCACAAATGCAGTACAAAACCCAGGAGTGCTGGCCATTTTCCCCCTGTTCCTGCAGATAATAGACCCCTCTTTTCTAAACTGAATACTATCCTAGGATGCAGCTCCTGCCATGTGAGAACTGATCAGAGGAGAGGTGCCAGAAATGTGGGAGAGCTGGCAGGGAGATACAAAGTCACTCACCACAAAAACACGTGAGGTAGATCAGGAGCCCTACTCCAGCGTAGCTAACCAGGTTCTTGTGTAGGGGCAGCAGGCAATGTCCTGAAAACCCCATGCCGGTAGCACACACTTTAAGGCAGGTAATTGTCCTAGTGAGAACTGCAGGCTGAGCTGGGTGCCCTCACTGCCTGAAAGGTTATGAGAGCCTGTTTGTCCCTTCCTCTGCAAAGATCAGCCTGTCTGCCCCACACTCATCCCGCCTCCTACACTGACCCCTCCTTCCTGCATCCCCTGGCAGTGACCTGGGATTTAGTCCTGCAGTTGGAAGTTGCTTAAGTGGCCTCACCACTGCGGCAGTACCTATTAGGCTCCCCCCTTCCCAGCTGTGCTTGCCCCTTTCACCCTCACCTCCATGATTTCCAGCCAGATCTAAGCTGCAGGTCGTGCAGTGGAAGGGTTTGCAGCACTGACTTATGGTGGTTTGCATCCTTGGGAAAAGCAGAGTCTTCCTGCTCTTCAGTGAATTCCCAGTTCCACTTTAACTGGGAAATCAAAACAACACTTACAAAACTGAAGGGCTAGGCTGTTGAAAATGTTTACAGAAATACAAAAATTGGCTAATGGAATGCCAATGATAGTCAGAAATTTGCTGTACATTCAAATTTGCTCTTATCGCTTGTGCATGCCAGAATGCAGTCACAGGAGTTGTGAGGGACAGTTCCCTTATATAAAATAACCAGCACCCTCCAGCTGAAGTCTGTCTGTCCCCAAGGCAACCTTCTGAAGTCACAGTGGTAAAGCCTGATCCATCACTCTAGGAGGCATATTAAAAAACGCAGTCTTCCTAAGTATCTGTATTCTCAGAGTATCATATAAAGAATAAGGGGGTTTCAGAAACTGCAATTATGAATAGGCTGCTGAGATTAAGTTGCATGCACCCTTAGTTTTTGGGCATCTCATTGACTTGATTCTCATCCTTCATTGTTTTGTAGGGAATTCACAAGCCAACATCTGAGCCACAAAATGCTCTAGCACAAACCTCATTCTGGGCCCTTCCCCATGCTCTTACTATAGTTGATGTTTTCAGCATAGAAATGCTCAGCTAATTGTCTGCCCCGCCCCATCCTTCCTTCCTACAATTTAGCCTGACTAATCCCATATAAGGTTCAGAGGTCTACCCAAAGGGAAATGAAAGTATGTCTCTTATCACTGTAAAACTGTCCGGTCCTTTGGAAATGGCTAGGTCAGGTAAGTGAGAGGAACTGTTCCCCCAAAGACTTTTCATTTTTTCTATGGCCAGAGCACCATATTTCCCAGAACATTTTCCATTGCTTCATCACAGCCCTTGTATTTCACATTGCAACAGCAATCCATGCAACATGTTTAACTATTCTATAATCCAACTTTTGCTGCAAGGTTTCACAGAATCACAGAATCACAGAATGGTTGAAGTTGGAAGGGACCTCTGGAGATCATCTAGTCCAACCTCCCTGCTCAAGCAGGGGCCTCTACAGCATATTGCCCAGGATCACATCCAGGCGGGTTTTGAATATCTCCAGCGAAGGAGACTCCACTACCTCTC